CCCTTGGGTGTGTGAGCCACAGCATGGATCCAGGATGAATCCCAGTTCTTTCCCCGTCTAGCTATTGGGAGCCACCCTAAGCATCAGGTCCCACCCTCCCATGAGGAAAGGCCAATGCCAAGCCCATTGGAGAGAACTTTCAGCCCCGGATCTCCCTAGTGGTGACCTCTCACCCCTGCACTGAGCCCTCTTACATCTACTTTCGCTGCCCTGACTTCTGCCATTGGGAAGACCCTGGCGGGGGTTTCTGCATCCTGGTCAATGCCCAGCTCAGCATCTTCAGCTGCGCCTGGCTCCTCCTCTCCAGCATTCTGTGGTTCTCTCAGCCCCGCCTCAGCAGGTCTCCAGGATGCCTCACATTTTCCCTGTTTGTTGCCTGTGCTCTGCCTGAGAGTCCTATGACTTTCCTTTTGTGCTTAATTAAATTCAGCCTCTGAACTGAAATGTGTCAGGTGCAACTGAGCAAGAGAACAGATGTATCCTCTTCCCCTCCCCCAACCCCAGGTATCCTAAATGAGAGAGAAGTGACTTAAAAATAAATGATAAAATTGAAACTAAGAAAGGCTGTAATTAGCAGACTGGAAACTGAGGAAATTCTAGAAGTGAAAGAAAAAATCAGATGTGTTCAAATGACGAGAGCAGTCAATTCAGCAGCCTAAAACAGGACCAGAACATCCAATGGAATCTTATCATTAGGGGCCAAAAATCTGTTTGTTTAACATGTGAGGAGACTCATAGCCTAAAAGTGAAAAATCAAGCTGAACTAGCATTATTGATGTTGAGTAACAGATAAATGTTTTAGGGAAAAAAGAGGAGCACATATCTGTGAAGAAGAGGCACAGTCATTTTTCAACCAGGTAACATCTAGCAAGGCTGGGATTGACCACTCAGAATGGGGGTCCACCACGAACAACCAATTTGGGGTACCAGTGCATAAGCTGAATGCCAGCCCTAAAGAAAGCTACTGTAAAGGAAGTACAATTTTCTTTTGCTCTTTTTGGGGAAGGGCATTGCTATGGTTTGGTTGCATCCCTATCCAAGTCTCTCATCTTGAATCGTAGCTCCCATAATCCCCACGTGTTGTGGGAGGGACCTGGTGGGAGGTAATTGAATCATGGAGGTAGGTTTTCCCTTCCTGTTCTTCCATGCGCTCTGCTACCATGTAAGATGTGCCTTTGTTCCTCCTTCACCTTCCTCCATGATTGTGAGGTCTACCCAGCCACGTGGAACTGTGAGTCCATCAAACCTCTTTTTCTTTATGAATTACCCAGTCTCAGGTGTTTCTTCAGAGCAGTATGAAAATGGACTAATAAAGGCATCAAATGGAAGTCTCTTCATGTATATCTCAGCTCCTGCCACGTGACCATCATCTATCTGTGAGAGGCAACACTTTTGCTTTCTTTATTTTTTTAAATCCTCATTCCCTATTTCCACTTGCCTTCCCTTCTGAGCAAGCACTCTAATGCATTTGATATGTAACCTTAAATTTGAATACATTCTTGTAAAGCATGCAGTATTTTTTTTTCCTGTGACTGTATTTTAAGTTAGATATAAGAAATTGTGATAAACTTTGTTCATGTATTTGTTTTGCTCCTTCCTGGGCATATATATACAGCCCACTTTTTCAGTGCTTATTCCATTGTGTACATATCCCACACTGTATCATTCAGAACTCAGGCCGCATGTGCTATTTTGCTTTCTCTTCTCAATATCGCAAGCAATGCTGTGACAAATATTGTTCATCATGTTCTCTGGTGGAATCAGGTGAGACTTCCTTTAGGACTTATACCCAGGTGGCGTCAGCTGGGTTTTAGGATCTCAGATATCTAAATAATGCTGCCAGCGGTGTTGCCCAAAACATGAATCTAGATACTAGAGATTATATGTTTTCTGTGAGTCTATGTGAAGTACACAGCACCACGTATAAAATGGTATTGCCAATTTAAAAAAAAGGAAGGCAAGAATAAATGTAGCTGAGTGATGCTAAATGGGGTCTATATGTATGATTATCTCCCTCTCTCTCTCTCTTTTTTTTTTTTTTTTTTTTGAGATGAAGTTTTGCTCTTGTTGCCCTGGCTGGAGTGCAGTGGCATGATCTCAGCTCACTGTAGCATCTGCCTTCCAGGTTCAAGCGATTCTCCTGCCTCAGACTCCTAGTAGCTGGGATTACAGGCAGTCACCACCACGCCTGGCTAATTTTTTGTATTTTTAGTAAAGACGGGGCTTCATCATGTTGGCCAAGCTGGTCTCGAACTCCTGACCTCAAGTGATCCACCCACCTTGGCCTTCCAGAGTGCAGGGACTACAGATGTGAGCCACCATGCCTGGCCGATTATCTCTTTTTTGCGAGATACTTTTGTGTATGCTTGGTAATTTTTATAATTAAAATGATACCTAAAAACAAACGTTTGTGTGCTGAAGCCACTGCTATTTGGTTTTCAGTGGTATGTGACTGAACCCAATCCTTTCTCGATTTATTGAACTTATACAACTGCAGCAGATGGGGACGGGTTCCCTTACAGTAAGGAAATATTGAGCTTCACTTAAAGAACTTTGGTAGTGGCATAAAAGTGGACTAAACAAAAATATATCTCCCTCAATCAGGTGCTAAGACTAGCATTTGGTTATAACTTTTAACTCTTTTATGTTAACATTCTTAGCCTCAAATTTGTCATAGATTTCTTAACCATAATTTTCAAGTGGGTGGCAAATTCTGTGTCGTAAGTTAGCATGTAAAAGACATATACTTCTTCAAAATTTTGAACATATTTCATTGTTTTCTTAACCTCTTAGTGTTGCTATGGAAATGTCTTATAGAAATCTGTTGGTTATTCATCTTTACTGACCTCTTTTATCTCTGGAACATTCTAATAATTTTCTCTTTGAATTCGTATTATAATGTGTTTAGTATGGGATATTCAATTATTCATTATATTATCCAAATGTGTATTCTCTGAACACATCTGATCTGATGTCGTAGGTATTGGTTTAATTCTGAAAAATCCTTGGTACTGTTTTTTCAAATATTAATAGTTCCTCTGCTCCATTTACTCTTTTTTTCTTCTTCTGGGAACAGAATAACAAAAAAATATGTGGGAACTGAAAACGACAATAACTACAATTAAAAGCTCACTACATGGACTCCATAGGAGAGTGGAGATGATTGAGGGTGTAACTAGCTAACTGGAAGGCAGACTGAGAAAATTGACTCAGTCTGATCAAAGAGAAAACAGACTGAAAATAAATGAACAGAACCTCAGCTGTCTATGGGACATTAATGTAAATGCTAACCTTGGCATCATTAGAGTCCCAGAAGGAAAGGAGAAAAAAATGTGGGACTGAAAATGTATTCAAAGAAATGTCCAAACTAATCAAATTTGGCCAAAGACCTAAAGCTACAAATCCAAGAATCTGATTTGATCCCAGATATAATAAGCCCAAAGAAATACACACCAAGACACAGCATAAATAAACTTCTGAGAAGTGAAGACAAAGAAAATACCTTAAAAACTGACAGAGAGAAATAATCATTTATAAAGGAATGCCAATTCGAATTGTAGTGAATTTCTCACCTGAAACAATGGAAGCCAGAAAAATGTGGCACAACGTTGTGCAAATGCTATAAAAGACAAACAACCCAATTGAAGAAGCATTTCTCCAAGGATATGCAAATGAGCACGTTGTACATGCTCAAGATGAAGATGCTCAATATCATTAGTCATTAGGTAACTACAATTCAAAACTTAGGTACATCTACCGGATGGCTATAAACAGAAAGCCAATACAAGTGTTGGAGGGATTGTAGAGAAAGGAGAACACTCATACATCGCTGGAGAGGGTGTAAAAGTTGTAGCCACTTGGGAAAACTATTGGGTAGTTCTTAAAAATGTTAAAAAATAGAGTTGCCATATGATCCAGTAGTTCTAATATTGGTTATGTATTCAAGGAAAATAAAAACCCATATGTCCACATGAAAACTTGTACAGGAATAGTCATAGCAACACTGTTTCTAACAGCTAAACAGTGGAAATAAAATAGCTGTCAACTGACAAATGGTAAAGGAGAAACATATGTATCCCTTCAGTGGAATATTATTCAGCCTTTAAAAGGAGTGAGGTACTAATACAACCTATAGCCAAGTATAGCTACAACATGGACAAGCCTGGAAAACGTTATATTAAGTGAAAGAATCCAGTCACAAGGAACACATATTATTTAAATACGTTTTCATGACATGTCCAGAATTGATAAATCTATAAAGACAAAAAAATATTGGTGGTTGCCTGGAACTGCAGGAATGATGACTGTGGTAAGCTGATAAATAAATGGCTTCTTAAAAAATATCTGTGTCCATAAACTGTGAACTGTTGACCAAAAAAATCTGTGTCCTAGTCCCTGGAACCTGTGATTGTTACCTCATATGGCAAAAAAAAAAAAAAAAAAAAAAAAAGGGATCTTTGCTGATGTGAGTGAGTTAAACATCTTGAGATGGGGAGATTACGGAGATGGGCACGGAATGCAATCACGTGTATCCTTATGTAAGAGAGGCAGAGGGGGATTTGAACACAAACAGGAGAAAGTGATGTGAAGTTGGAGCAGAGCAAGATTGAAGATGGGGGCCTTGAAGACTGGAGTAAAACAGTGAAACCAAAAAAAAATGCTGGCAGCTACCTGAAGCTGGAAAGGCAAGGAACGAATTCTTCCCTAGAGTCTCTGGAGAGACTGCAGCCCTGTCGACATCTTGATGGCAATACAGTGAGACTGACTTCAGACTTCTGCCTTCAGAACGGTGACATAATCACGTCCCATTGCTTTAAGCCACCAAGTCTGCAGTAATAGGAAACTGATACAGGGAGTGCCTGCCAGTGGGCATGGGGTTTCTTTGGGGGGACATAAAGATGCTGTAAAATTGGATTGTGTTGTTAGTTGTACAACACAGTGAATATACTGAAAACCACTGAATTGTACGCTCTAGATGGGTCAAATTAATTTTATTTATTTATTTATTCTTGACATATAGTTTTGCTCTTGTCACCTAGGCTGGAGTGCAGTGGTGCAATCTCAGCTCACCACAACCTCCACCTCTGGTGTTCAAGCGATTCTCCTGCCTCAGCCTCCCGAGTAGCTGGGATTACAGGAGCCCAAAATGATGCATTTTTGTATTTTTGTATTTTTAGTAGAGACGGGGTTTCTCCATGTTGTTCAGGCTGGTCTCAAACTCCTAACGTGATCCTCCCACCTCGGCCTCCCAAATTGCTGGGATTACAGACATGAGCCACTGCACCCAGCAGGGTCAGTATGGTATTATGTGAATTACATCTCACAGAACTGTTGAAAAAATAATCGTGACCCTGAGTTAAGCAAAGATTTATCAGATATGACATAAAAATATGATCCACAAAAATTACATGTTGGACTTCATCAAAAGAAGTCAACAAAAAGTTCTTCATACTGTCCTATTTCCATTCTGGAAAGAGAGAAACGATAGGAAAAAAACCCCACCAGATCAGTGTTTGGGACGGAAGGGAAGACTAACAGGGGGCAGGGGAAAGCTTTTGGAGATGACGGCAGTCTCCTCTGTCTCCATTATGGCATTGGATGCAAGTCTCTAGAACATTCAGAACTGTTCATTAAAAAGGGTAAATAGTACTCTATGTCGATCAGACCTTAATTTTTTCATGGGAAAAATAAATATAAAGGCAAAATACACTGCTGCGTTAAGTCAAATGATGGATGTAAAAGTCTAATACATACATATTTTTAACGATTTTGACAAATGCTTCCAAATCTCTCTCAAGAGAGGTTGAATCCAGTGCATACTTCCCCGATCAGTGAGTGAGTGTTTGATTCCTTCCACCCGCATCAGCACAGTGATCCCAAGGGTCACACTTTTGATGATCGCTGGCTCAGTGCTGGGCACACTGCAGGAGTTTCACAGAAGCACAGATCCCAGGCGCTCGAAGTCCCACAAGAGAAAAATCCTCACTCCTGAAGCAACTTACTCTTCTGGTGGGGGAAGGGATGAAGGAGCATACTGTGTATGTTAGGGAGGGAGACGGCCTCAGAACTTAGGGAGTTCAGGATGTTCTGAGTACTGGGTGGGAAACATTGAAAAAGGAAGGGTGAAAAAGGAAAACAAAACACATCTGTAAGCGGAGAGGTCTCAAGTGACGACTGTATCTCATTCCCGTGCCGCCAGTGCCTACCAAGCCACATGCATAGCAATGAGGTTGTGGGAATGAACAAATGAATGAATGAGTGGAGAGACTATAGAAGTTTAGGGTTAGTCAAGATAAAATTCTTAGCTTGGGGTTTGGGGGTTCCAGATCAGTTTAAGATTGTAGCCATGCGACTGAATCTCATTCCCATGTCCCCAGTGCCTACCAAGCCCCATGCATAGCAGTAAGGTTGTGGGAAAGAACAAATGAATGAATGAGTGGAGAGACTATGGAAGTTTAGGGTTAGTCTAGATAAAATTCTTTGCTTGGGGTTTGGGGGTTCAAGGTCAGTTTAAGATTGTGGCCATGCAAGCTTGAGGGCTTTTTGCTTTGAGTCCTGTTAAAATTAATGAAAATGGAGACCAGGCCTGAAGAGTCCCTGAGCAGACAAAATCAGCCAGGCCTCATAAGTGACCTCAACCTTGCTTGATTTGCAAACATCAGTGAAACTTAACTTGAGCTATTTCTTATAAATGTGTGTATTAAAGGAAGAACAGAACTTAAGCTCCACCAGTCAGAAGAAGCCAATGAACTTATATAAATAAGTAGGGTCTTTCCAACAGGCTAGGGCAAATAGGGGAACTGTATAACGGTAACCAATTAAATATTTTCTTCGCTTTACTTGTCCTGTGGGAGCCTTCCCCTTGTGTCCCGCCAGTGGAGCTCCTCCGCCTGTTCTGTTTGGAGCTGCCTGATTCATGAATTGTTGTTCGCTCAAATAATCCGTTTAAAATTTTATTGTGCCTCATTTTACTTTTTGACAGTCCCATCTAAGGAGTAGAAACGTAGCACTGGTGAGTAGGGGGAGCATACATAACCATGGGGGGGTCCAACTGGACTCCCACACACTGAAGGAGCAGGTGACACAGCTACTGAACATCAGAAATCGATGCTTCTGACTCTAGGCCTTGGGATAAGTGAAGGGTGAGGTCTTGGGCCAAGTGCTGGGTCATTTCCACCGGAGCTGTTGGCTGTACAGGCGAGATAGGGTTGAGCAGGAGGAAGTGGAGGGGGCTTGCCTGTGTGCTGACGGAGGCTGGAGGCACGGGAGGAAAGGGCTCTTGAGGTGAGGTGGATGAGGGGAAGCCCTGCGGTGGCTTTAGGAAGCCTGTGGGAGGGACTAGGAGTGTAGAGGGAGCTGGTGGTGAGTAGAGACGACAGGAGGAGAGGCAGAGAGAGGGATAGAGACAGGAGATGCAGGGGTAGGGCAGAGGAGGGGCCGCTGGGGTATGTGTGAGACTGTGCATGGGCATGTGTGCATGTGTGTGTGTGTTTGTGCGAAAGTGAATAAAAGAGAAAGTAAGATTGTATGAGTGTGAGTGCATGTGCACACACTCATGTGTGAGAGTACAGAAGCCCCTCCCTCTACTCAAACTTTATGCCCTGAGCCTTCCAATTTGGATTTTTTTCCCCTTGACAAAAGTAAGATTTCAAGTGGGCATGTAAGAGGTTATTTGCAACAGTCAACACAAGTGACTGTTCTGAGAAGCCAGGAACCTGGGAGAGAGAGAGAGGAAGGAACAGAAAGAATGCATCTGCAATGAATGAATGAATGAGAGCTTACACGAACTTCTCTGTGACTGTGTGTATGTAAGAAACTAGGGTCTGAGATGCTCCATCTCAGCCTGAGAGCCTTTACTCCTGGGTCTCTCAGCCCGGAAGATTCCAGGAAAGTCTATACCTGAGGTTCCAGAAGCCTCACCTCAACCCCATAGCTGGATCCTAGGGACCAGTTCCTGGGGGAGGTTGGGGCAGGCCAGGAGCCCTCTGACTGTTGGCCCTCCCTGGGCTTGGCCCGCATACTGGGTGGAGCAGCCACACCTGCCTGAAGTTCCGAGGAAAAGGGCGGAAACAGCAGCCAGCACCGCCCTTGCCCTTGTGATAGGCTCTATGGGCTCCTGCGGTCGGCTGGGGGCAGTGGGTCCCACACTGCCTCACTTCCCTAAATGGGTATCTTCACTTTTAGAACCCCAGGTCCTTCCCTGGCAGGCCCAGGTGGCACGTCCTGTGTCGGCTGGGCCCTCACCTTGGATCCCCGAGGTGCGCTGGCCCCTTGCGGGGCCTGTGACTGCCCAGCTGGATGGAGCCATGGTCCCTGCGCTCCTGCTGCTGCTGCTACTGCTGCTGCCGTGGCCACAGGGCTGCGTCTCAGGTGAGGGGAGAAGGGGCTGCCTCGTGGAGGAGGGAGTGGGAACAGAGGCAGGAGCACAGGGCCTTTTATCTAACCCTCCTTACCTGCAATTTTCTTGTGTAGTGTTTTGTGGGTTGGGGAAGGAGGAGATTAGTGCTGACTTAGTAGTTCTTTACACTAAGATCAGGCCCCAGGCAAAGCTAATCCAGGCCTCCCAGGCTAAGATAAAGCTCTGGACTCTCTCTGTGTTGGCCCCTTTATCTCCTAGGCTTCCTCAGGCTTCAAAGCAGAGTCACTTTATTTCCTCACACAAATAGCCATCTCGGCTTGGCCTGTCAGGAAGCCCTGTTTAGGTATGACAGCAGTCATTGCATCATGAGTGCTTTGAACTGAATTTGAGCATTTTTCTTGTACTGCTGATGGCACATCCTGTCCCTGCCTCTGTCCTGAAGAGACCAATCTCTGAACACCTTTTCCACCTTACATATACCAGTGCTCCTTGAGGGACCTCACCCATTTCTGCCCACTTACTGCCATAGCAACCAAGTTACCACTTCCTGTTCAGTTCTGGGCATAGTGGGTGTTGGCAAAACTCACTCACCACTGCCGGTAAGAAGGGTGGGAGCTGTAGGCACACATGAACACAGTGCCCTGGAGACCCATCCCAAGGTCACCCACCTCTGTACCTCCCAGAGGTAGAGAAACAGCTTCCCACTGCCAGGGCAGAAAGGGGTCTCTCCTGTGCTAAGAAATTCTAGGCTCATCCACCAAGTAATGGAGTTGCATCGTTCTGTTTAGTTTGCAAGGAACAGAGGGATGTTCAGAGAGGGCGCTGCCTCACATAGAGCCTCAGCTCTAGTGGCTGCTGGGTGGGAAGTGGCACAGATGTCCTGGGTTCTGGGCCCTTGACTGTCACAGCTCTGGGTTCCACTGGGGGAACTGGGAATCCGCTGCATGTGGGAAAAGGAAGCATGCATTGAGCACCCACAGTGTGCAAAGCACTGACCAGGGCAGAATTCTCACGGCAACCTGTGAGCGGTGTGGTGCTATTCTCTCTTGACTGATACAGAAACAGAGATATTTCTGTGTCTGTCAAGTGTCTGTTTTGATATTTCGGTAACAAACAGGTGTCCCGATCACACCGTTACATGGTAGAAACAGGGTTTCAACTCTTGTTTATTTTAACTCTAAAATGTGTGCTCTTTATTCTCTACTCTGTGGTAAAGTTTTTTTTAATGTGTGTGTTTGTGGAAGGCTCTGAGTGAAATTATCAGAAGAATCAGTGCTGAGTGTGGGTTGGGCAGATGGGTGGAGGGACCCCGGGCAGCTTTCTCCCCCCATCTGACCCCTGAGTCACCCCCACACACCAGTTCTGCTCTCTCTCTACCAGACTATGCGTCATGAAGGCTTGGACCACATCTTACACCTCAGCATAGAGAGCAAGACACTGCAGATGGAAAACGAATAATAGTAGAATCCTGTGGTTCCCACTCTATTGGGAGTTTATTTAAATGTACATTTGGAGAGGCTTGATCTATGGGTTCTATGTAACTAGAATATTTTAAAACTAAACACCAGCTAGAATGAACTAAGGCAGGTTATTATTTAAAGAGGACTTCAGTGAACATATTTGTGAAATAAATAACTATTCATGATTTTTTCAAATACTGGATTTTCTTATCTACCTAATTAGTTGGGCACTGAAATTTCAGAACTTAATGACTTGTGTTTGTGTCTGCATCTGTCTCACTGAGGGTGTGACCTGAGTCTATCCCACAAGAATTCCCTGGGAATCCCTGAAGACAGCTTGTCGCTCTCCCATCAGACTAGAGAATACCATGAGGAAAGGGGTGTGTCTGATGCGGCTCTGAGGTCAGGGCTGCGTTTCCTCCATTAGACTGGGGCTCCCTGAGGGGTAAACCTGCCTCCTCCAACAGACTGAAAGCTCCCTGAGGGAGGGGCCTGTGTCTCCCCCATAATACTGGGTGCCAGCTGTTTTCAGGGCTGGTGAACCACCCTTCAGACTGGGGCAAGCTCCCCGAGGGTGGGGCTGTATTTCCCCCTCAGTCATGTGGGTTCCATGACAGCAGGACAATATCCACGTCACCCTTCACCACGATCTTCAACGTTCATGATGCTTCTCCCTCTGCTCTTGCCAGACCTTATTCCACAAGCCTTGTCTCCCCAGGTCCCCCCGCTGAGAGCGCATACACAAAAATGAGGCTCCTTGAAGGGGAGACTCTGTCTGTGCTGTGCTCCTACAAGGGCTACAGAAACCACGTGGACGGCAAGGTTTGGTGCAAAGTCAGGAGGAGGAAGTGTGAGCCTGGCTTCACCCGAGTCCGGGTGAAGGGACCCCGCTACTTGCTGCAGGACGATGCCCAGGCCAAGGTGGTCCACATCACCATGGCGGCCCTCACGCTCCAGGACTCTGGCCGATACTGGTGCATGCGCAACAGCTCCGGGACCCTGTATCCCATGCTGGGCATCCAGCTGGACGTGTTTCCAGGTGAGTGGGCTGGAGGGGCACTGGGACAGGTGGACAGAGTCCTCCCTGCCCCACACTCCACTAACATCAGAGATGATACGGATAGTAACCCATCCGTGGCCATGTGGCACTGTAGTGTTTTCAGAGTGCCTTTATGGCATGATTCACATCACTATTGTCACCATTTACAGATGAAGATAATGAGAACTGAAAACCCAATGTGACTCTGAGCTTGTCCAGGGTCCCAAAGCTAGCAGGTGGCTGAGATGAGGTTCAGCCTTGGGACTGTCTGTGCTGTGTTTCATTCACTCATTGCTTCACCATAATCCACTCAGCCCCTATTATGTGGCAGGCACTATTCCAGGCTCTAAGGAGACAGTGGTGAGCAAAAACACTCACAGTCCTGTCCTATGGGAGATGACAGGCACATCTGTTATCCAGGCAAACAATAGCAGATAACCAGAGGTGTTCACAAGAAACTAGGAAGTGTTTCAAATAATTGCAGATAACTAGAGGTATTCATGAACTAGGGCGTGACTCAGTGATGGGGGAGCTACTGAAGTACTGGGGGTCAGAAACCACCTCCTGAGTATATGACACCAAACAGAGCCCTAAATGGTGAGCGTTCTCCAGCCCTGTTGAAATCTTGGTGCTTTGAAGGGCACTTTGTGGCGAGAGCTGCATGTGCAAAGGTCCTGAGGTCAGAAGGAACTTGGCTTGTATAAGGCTTGTTTAGTGACTCCACGTTGAGTGTGGGACAATAAACGATGGGGTTGGAGAGTCAGGAAGCCCTGAAGACCATAAGGTGGAATTTAGGTATAAGAGGAAGCTAATAGAGAGCTCAGAGAGTGTGTCATGACTTGTTTTTAAGAATGTAGTGGCCACTTGTTGAGGATGAACATGAGCAGAGGCCACTGTGGGCATCTGGTGGGAAATAACAGTGGCTTGGAGTACAATGTAGGCACTAGTGGCAGAGAGACGTGAATGGGCTCAAGTCTGTTTTTCAGACTTGCTGTTCAGCTTGTACGTTTTGGTGGTAGGACAGGATTTGCTCAATTGAGAGGTGAGCCAAGAGGAGGAATCATGGATGGTCCAAGGTGTTCTATTTCATCAGCGGGTGGATGATGGTACCATTGATTGCAAAGGGTAAATCTGAAAGAGGAGCTAATCTGGAGAAGAAAAATCAAGAGCTCTCTTTTGTCATGTTAAGTTTAAGATACCTCCTAGAATCCTAGGTGGGGAAATGCAGCCAGCAGTGGATATATCTGTCTGGAGCTCAGGTGAGAGGTCAGAGCTGGGGTATGTATTTGAAAGTGTCTCTATAAAGATACTATTTAAAGTCCAGGGAATTAGAGAAATCTATAGAGGCAGAAAGTAGATTAGTGGTTGCTTAGGGTTAGAGGGAGGAAAAGGGGATACAGAGTCATAGATATACAGTAAGGGGTTTCTTTTGGAGACGATGAGGATGTTCTAAAATTCACCATGATGGTGATTGCATAACTTTGTAAACATACTAAAAAATCATTGAGCTTTATACTATAAATGGGATGTGAGTTATATCTCAATAAAGTTGCCAAAAAAATATCAAGAGACATCTGAAAGCTCTCCCTTGCGTGTAGGCAAAAAAAAAAAGAGTGGAACACCAAGCTGTGAGGTCCTTCTGCATTTATAAAATAGAAAAGGGAAAGGAGTCAGCTAAAGAGTCTGAAAAAAGCAGCTAGTTATTATGCAATTTACTATCCACCCTTCCCTCTTCCCTGAACCCAATTGCAGCTGCGTCTTCCATGGGGTCCGAGCTAGGGAAAATGCTGTCGCTAAAATGTGGAGCCAAATTTCATTCCTCCCCTCTCCAGTTCCGAATTAGATGCAGGGAAGTTGAAACTGGTTCATCGAAGTCTGAATTTGTAGGGTCAGAAACATTAAATATTTTATTTTTCTCATCATTTCCCCTAATCATGTTATGTCAAATCTCACTTTCCACTTCTTGAGGACAATTTGTGAAAATTCCAACTTTGCAGACCTTGTCAGTTATTAGAAAATTTAATAATCCTTAGTCCAATTATAAACTCTAGTCATCTAGCAGTATAGGATATTCTGCTGACCCCCGAAGACCAGGTTGTATGGCCCAAGGCACCTAAAGTGGAGAAGGAAGGCTGCTGGCTGCCCAGCTCCCCATCCTGTATCTTGGGGTGTGGGGAAGGTGGGGTTCCACTTGGTTATCTCCTCCTGGCCCTCTCAGCATGTTGATGCAGGAATGAGGGTGGGGGAGATGGTTATGTGGCTTAACTGAGCGTTGTAGGAGTGTTTTCTCTGGTGGATGTCATTCCTTGTCTGCCAGCCCTTTGAGAGTCTCTCTGAGTGTCCACATGCTCTCCCAAGGCACTGATGTGTGAGTTCTCTGAAGAGTTCTTCAGGGGTGCCCCCATTGCTGAGTGTGACGATGTGGGAGCTCTGGCTCCAGGTGAGCCCCTTGCTCTATCCTCACCAATGCTGCTTGTTTTGAGTTTCTTTCCCCAGAAAAATGGCTCAAGTGCAGCCACTTTCCATCAGTTTCCATGATGACCATTTGGCCCTTATGAAATTGTCCTTTCCATGCACAGTAGCGGGATGCAGCAGCCTCTCTCTCCAATTTTCTCATTCCATGCTGAGACAGACCAACACTCACTGCTAGGTTGAAGCCTCAAAGCTCCTCCGCCTCCCTCATCATCCACTATCCAAAACCCAGGTTTCTTCTAGAAAATGGGGTGGAAAAGGGCTGGGTTGATGGGTGAGTGTAGCAGGACCAGTCTGATATCTCTGAGTGAGCTCCTAAGGAAAGCGTCTGAGCCCAATGACTGCAGCTTTCTTTGGAATTTGAGGCCCTTGATCCCTCCTTGCCCTCATCTCTGGACCTTACTTGTCAACTACGTAACAGCTGGAAAAGTCCCTGCTTGACATGATTTTATAGAAATGTTTTTGGCCTACAGGAAGGAAGAGGGCCTGGAAAGTGACAGGAGAGGGATGGGGATGGAGAGGGAACAGGTGGCCTGACATGCGACGGAAAAAGAAATCACAGTCCCTCCCTTCTTCAGTACCCCTACTTCTTTCTTCCTGATATCACTTTCTGAACAAATACACATGTGATCACTCAGCAGCCAGCATCCTAGGCCCAAGCTCAAGGAGAAGAGAAGAGCACAGGGCCCCATCCCAGTGTCTGGGAAACTGTGGGCTGCCAGGATCTGCTCCCAGCACTGAGGCCCCCAAGTTAGTCTGACTTTCCTCCCTCTCTGTCCTTCAGCTCCCAAAACTGAGAGGAACGCTCCTTTCACGCATCCGGCCAACGTCCTCAGGAGTGAAACTGTTACAACTGGCCAAGCCCCTACCTCAGGCCCTGATGCCCCTTTCACCACTGGCGTGATGGTGTTCACCCCTGGACTCTTTACCTTGGCTACCCTCTTGGCCTCCACTGGACCTGCCTCCAAGAGAGGCTACAGCTTCACTGGTACCAGCACCACCAGAAAGGGATCCAGGAGGACCACGGAGTCCCAGACAGTGACTGCGTCTCCCAGCAGTGCCTCTGCTGGCCAAGAACCCATCTCCGCTAGGTCTGGTCACCCCAGCACCGTATCGTCCACCACAGGGCTCTGCCCCACCAGCAGGTCTCTCCTCAACAGACTACCCTCCATCAGGTACTCATGGGGCCTGGGGTTGAGTGACATTTTACCAGATGTGGCACCAGCACCTAGTGCCCAAACAGACCTTGAGGTGCAAATCTCATGTCTAACCTTCCCCTTTTGCTCCTCAGGAATCCAGTGTGGCCTGCTTCTGAATGGGAGGTGGGGGACTGGAAGTGACACAAAGGATGGCAATGGGAAGGAGGGGCAGGAGAGAGGAGGGTTGTGGGGAGGAGGGTCAGGGTCAAGAGGAGGTCAGAAGAAAGGAGGGTCTGTGAGAATGAGAGTCGGGAAAGGAAGGGCAGGGGAGGAGGGGCAGGGGAAAGGAGGAGGGTCAGTGGGGAGGAGGGGCAGGGGAAAGGAGGAGGGTCAGTGGGGAGGAGGGGCAGGGGAAAGGAGGAGGGTCAGTGGGGAGGAGGGGCAGGGGAAAGGAGGAGGGTCAGTGGGGTGGAGGACCAGGGGAAAGGAGGGCGGGAGAGGATGGTCAATAGGGAGGAGGGGCAGGGGAAAGGAGGGTTGGGGATGAAGGGCAGGGAAAAAGAGGGTCAATGTGGAGGAGGGGCAGGGGAAAGGAGGGTGGGGAGGAGGGTTAGGGAAGAGGAGGGGCAGGGGGAGGAGGGTTAGGGAGAAAGAAGGTCGGGGAACGGAGGATGGGGGTGAGGAGGGGTCGGTGGGGAGCAGGGTGAGGGGGAAGAAGTTTAGGGGAAGTGCCAGCAGAGAGGAGGGTCGGGCTAAAAGGGGGAGATGAGAGTTGCAGGGATGACTGTAGGGGACTATGAGAGTCGGGGGGGTCAGGGGGATGAGGATGAGGGGAAATGAAGGCTGTGGGAGAGGAGAGTCTGGGAAGAAGAAGGTCAGCGGGAGGAGTATCAGGGAGAGGAGGGTTGCAGAGATGAGGGTAGGTGGTGATGAGAGTCTGTAGGATTAGGGCCAGTATGGATGAGAGTCAGAGATGAGCATGTCAGGTGATGCTGGCCTGAAGAGTCTGTGGATGGAGAGAAGAGGGTGACAATGGGGCAAGAATGTGCCTCATGGAGTAGGAAGTGGAACATGGGGGATGCTTTAATTTGGGTTCCCCTAGAGAAGTTGACTCTGAGGCAGGGATTTGCATCTTATATGGAACACTGGAAAAAGGATGGGGAGTGGGGCAGGGCAGGGAAGTCCTCCAATAAACAGTGCTTAACCAAGCAGCTACTGTGCACAACAAGAGCCTAATTCCAATGGGAGACTCAGATCCAGCGTCAAATACACATCGGAAGGGCAAAGGAGCCGGGGTAGGTACACACCAACTCCAATTGGTCATCGGCAGCGGGCTGACTGCTGTGTGTGGCATAGAAGGCTCCAGTGACAAGAGAAAGACCTCAGCCTCCCACCCACAGAAAAGGAGGCGCTGACGATCTGTGTGCATCGAAATGATACAGGCAAGGGGATACAGGCAGGCCCCGACAGCATCTGCTACAGAGGACGGAGTGGGGAAGAGGCATCCTCAAGCCCCTTGAGGACAGCAAGCATCTTGATCTCTTTAGCCACAGATGGGAGTGTCCTAGAATCCTCATCCTCACTGATGAACAGATTTGGGGGCGTAATGAAGGAGAGGTAGCAAAGTAGAGAGATGTTCCCCTCTACCTGGGGACGTCCTCCCCTTAACTCCAGGTGGCCCACTTTCTTCTCCTATGGCCAGGTCTGCAAGGAAGAGGGTGGCCGTCTACCCCAGGAAGGGTATGCTCTCAGGGTTTCTGCTGCTGGGATTATCCCTGGTCTGACTCCAACGTGGGTTGGGGTGGGGAACCTTGGTTCTCACCCCCTTCTGCTCCGTCCCTTCTCCTCAGGCACCAGGATGATTACTCCACTGTGCTTGTGGTGGTGCTGACCTTCCTCCCGTTGCTGATGCTGATCGTGGTCTATGGGTTTTGGAAGAAGAGACACATGGGAAGTGAGTAGAGCCCACCTCCCAGCCTCCTGAGGGCAGAGCTCTGTGTAACTGCACTAAGGGTTATGACCTCGAGTCCCAGGTGGTATGGCCCGTGGCTTGTGTCCAGTCAAAGGTCAAAAGGACCGTGAGGCCTCCACCTAGGGAGGAGGATGGCCAGGCAGAGAACACCAGCACAACCCTAAGGGGATGACCTGGAAGGAACCAGAGGCAGAGCCAGAAAGGGGCTGGGGCTGGTGGAGGAGCATTGGGGTACCGTGGTCAGGGCAGGGCCCTTCCTCAGCTCTCCCTGTTTCTTGCAGGCTACAGCATGTGCAGCGATCCTTCTAGACATGACCCACCAAGAAGGCCAGAGCCCCTGTGGAAACCTGCTTGATCTGAGGCCACTTACACGTGGGGTGGGGAGCTTCTCCCAGAGTGGCCCCAGGGGGTTAGAGGAGTGGTGAAGACTGGGGCCAGTCTGGATCAGATGAAGTTGGAGGACTTGTGCAGTGCTGGACTCACCCAGGCCTTCCTATAACCAGAGGCTGCCCTCCTGAGCAGCCCCACAGCCCGGTGTTCTCCTGGGCTGCAGGAATCTGGGGAGGGTCCCAGAGCAAAGGGCCTCAGGCAGGAAGTCCCGAGGAAATGTGTCCAGTGGTTTCTGCTCAGAGCCACAGACTCCGGCGCTCTCGGTGGAGGGCAGGGGAACCCTGGGAGTGCTGTTTACAGAGAACCTCAGCTCCCGTCTGCCTCAGAAACCCTTACTATCAGGCTGAGCTGCTCCTCCCCACCAGTGCTACTGTGTCCTCCGCTTCCCTCTGCTCTGCTCCAGCTTCCCCTAAGCTTAGGGAAGAGTTGGGCTCACGAGTCCCAGAGGCGGCGATGTCCCATCCTGGAGGAGAGGAGACAGTGACTAAGCACTGGGGACCCACAGAGGGATTGGCACCTTCCCCCTTCAGGCCACGTGTCCTCTACTGGTCCTCTGGATGGCCCTGCCCTGACTGGGGCTGCTCCTCCCTCCTGTTCGGGGACCCTGCAGAGCCCATGCTCTCACTGCTGCCACCTACTGGCCGCTGCCTCCTAAGAAACACGCAGCTAAGAGCCTCTAGGCTGCAGGGTCAGTTTCTCCCCCGACTGAAGCTGAGAGGCTGGACTTGGGGCTCTTTCCCCCAGCTTCTACATCTGGGCTCCAGGTCTGAGTTCCCACAGGGGACTCAGCGGCCTTCAGCAAGTCCACACCCTGGGGTGGCTGAGACCTTGGCTCTGTGTGGAGGGTGCTGACGCATGGCTCAGACTCAGCCTCTACTGCACAGACCACCGGCCTGGGGTCCGGCAATGAAGGCTGGAGAATGCAGCCTGGATTTCCAACCCCAGAGAGGAGAGTCTACTGACCAAGAGTGACTGGAATAGCACCTAGGGATAAATGTGACAACTGTGCATTCAACCCTGGGTCAGGGACGTTCCAATGGCCAGGAGAGTGACACAGCCAGGACCCTGGTGATCGACCAGAGGGGGTCACTTCAGGATGGATGTGGGGAGAGCGGAAGGGGCAGGGAGTAATCCTGGGGAACAGCCGGGAAGAGGTACTTCTTCCCTATGTCCAGGAGGGGGCAATAGAAGGAATACTGAGGCTGAAGAACTGACAGCTCTGGTCCCATCCAGGACACACACAAACACACACACACACACACACACACACACATCTCTGTCTAGCAAGCAACCTGCTTAGATAGCTGTTCTCCCTATCATGAGGGTGTGGCCACCACCCTGATGTGTACTAGGAGGGAGCTTGACACACCTGGGAGAAAATAGCTCCCCAAAGAGCTCACACTAGCAGCACTGATGGCCCTGCTTCCTCTGAGAGTGAGATGCCTGTGGGGAGGAGCCCTAGGGAAGAAATCAGGGACAGGGACCTGAGATGCCACTCTGTCACTGTGTGACCCTCAGCAAGTCACTAACCCTTGGTCCCGTTTTTCCTTGTGAAAGAGGAAAAATTTTCTCTCGTGAAAGAGAACAGTAATTCCTGCTTCTCAAGATCGTTTTCAATATAAAAGAACATAAGCATTGTACAACGATGTAAATGCGTCATTACCATTGTTCCTGATGTTTTTCCCGTTCTAATGTTGCTTCCCATGTTACATTTAAGGCCTTAGGATTCTACTTATTGGTTTTGTCCTCTCTCTTCCCAAGCACCATCGCTATATGGATGTTGGGGGCCCTGATGACAGTCCCTTTGGTAAGGTCCTCTTTTGAAGAGGGGAGGGTACAGAGTGCACTCATCTCAGTGTGACCTTAGCAAGTCACTGCCCCTCTCTGATCCTGTTTCCTCATCTGGAAAAGATGTGAGAGAGGAGAAAGGAAGAAACCGGTCTTGCAGGCAGTTGAATTCTTTTAAACAAAAGAACAGCCTGAAAAATCAAGCTACAGGCACAAATAAGGGAACTTTTACAGTGGGGCTTGCCTAAGACATGTCCACAGCCTCACAGATAAGAAAGACTACACAGGTGACTTGCCCAAACATGCCCACAATGGAAAATTTAATCCCCTGACATGTGGAGTAAGCGGACCAAAGCAATATGGAGTAACTCAAGCTAAGCGCCTGCACATTAGAAAGACAAGGTGGAGCTGGGTGCAGTGGCTCACACCTGTAATCCCAGCACTTAGGGAAGCCGAGTGAGGTGGATCATTTGAGGCCAGTAGTTTGAGACCAGCCTGACCCATCTCTACTAAACCCCATCTCTACTAAAAATACAAAAAAATTAGCCAAGTGTGGTGGTGCATGTCTGTTGTCCCGGCTACTCAGGAGGCTGGGGCAGGATAATCCCTTGAACCCAGGAGGCGGAGGTTGCAGTGAACAGAGATCCCACCACTGCACTCCAGCCTGGGTGTCAGAGTGAGACTCCATCTAAAAAAAAAAAAAAAAAAAAAAGGACAGGGTGAAGCTACCAGAAATTCATTCCTTATGCAAATGAGACACCCAGCTCTTACGTTTCTTATAAAAGGCTTTGCATGCAACTGTAAAAATGGCAACCTTCTTTCAGACCCCTTCTTCTTTCAGGCAGAGAGCTTTCTTCCTTTGCTCATTAAACTTTCCCACCAACCTCACCCTTGGTGTCCATGCTCCTTAATTTTCATGGTTGTGAGACAAAGAACTCCAGGTGATACCTCAAATAGCGAGAGACTGCTACATTGTGGTGCACTGGTGAGACTGTAACAGGAGGGTGGAGATGAGCTCTGAAGCCCCTTCTCGTCACTTCTTTGGGTATGTGTGTCAGAGGTGTTTAAACCAGAGTGACTTCCATCTTGTATAGAGGCTGGGTAAAATAAGGCTGAGGCCCAGTGGGCTGCATTCCCAGATGAGTAGACATTCTAAGTTACAGGGTGAGATAGGTTGGTACAAGGTACAGATCATAAAGACCTTGCTGATAAAACAGGCTGCAGTAAAGAAGTCGACTAAAACCCACCAAAAATAAGATGGCAATGAAAGTGACCTCTGGCCGTCCTCACTGCACATCATACACAAATTATAAGTCGTGAGTGTGCTAAGGGACACTCCTGCCAGTGCCACGACAGTTTATAAATGCCATGGCAACATCAGGAAGTTACCCTATGTGGTCTAAAAAGAGGAGGAACCCTCAGCTCTGGGAATTGCCCACCCCTTTCCTGGAAAACTCATGAATAATTCACTCCTTGTTTAGTATATAATCAAGAAGTAGCACATATAAGCAGCTAAGCAGCCCATGTTGCTGCTCTGCCTATGGAGCAGCCATTCTTTATTCCTTTACTTTTTTAGTAAACTCGCTTTCATTTTACTGTATGCACTTGCCCTGAATTCTTTCTTGCATGAGGTCCAAGAACCCTCTCTTGAGGTCTGGATTGGGATCCCTTTCCAGTAACACAAACAGAACAGCTGCATGGACACAGCTCAGCACTGAGTGAGGTGGAGCACAGCAGAAAAGAACAGGAGCCAGCCCTGGCCTCAGTCTGCTCACAGCCTCCAAAGGAAGAGAGGCCTGGCATTGCTGGGTACACCCCAGACCTTAGCACAGGGTCCAAAGCCACAGTGCAGGAGACAGGAGGTCCTCAAGTCCTTCTGAGATGGAAGAACTGGGAATCCTCTAGGCTCTGGCCAGCCAGGCAGTCTTCAGGGAGGAGGTGGGGCTCCGTCTGAGGCCGGGACCACGGGGTGGAGTCAGGAGATGATATCTAGGTGCAGAGACTGTACAGGTCATGGCAGCTGGGAGCCGTGGGGAGACTTGATGAGAAGGGGCTGTGGTGGGTGGAAAGGAATGTGGCCACACAACACGTGGTTGCTGGACCCAAGCAGAGGCCTTTAGCTGTGTCCTGAAGTAGGGCACGGTAGCAGTGAGGGTGACCAACTGTCTTTGTTTGCTCCTGTGGGGCTCCTGGAACAAAGTGAACCAGCACAATTTTCTCACCCTAGCAGACTGCTCCCCTGTGAACTCCATGGTAAGGACACGGGGCTGAGGAGCTATGGACTCCATGCCCCATGCCCGCAGCCCTAACTGGACGCTTTCCTAAACATGCCATCCTCTCACTTCTTCCTCCTCTCTCCCCCTTCTCAAAGCTCCCAGACCCACAGCAGATCCAGGGCAGGGAGGTGGGGGCAGGTGGGGCATTGGACAGGCTGCTCGATTCAGCAGGTGAGATAACAAAGCTTCCTGAGCAACAGGCTGTGGCCATAGAACGTGCACCTGGGAAGGGCTGACCCTCATGGCCAATGGAAGAACAAATAAAGTAAATCCAGCTCCTCCTGATTGTTCACATGCCCAAATGGAGCCCAGCAAGCAGGAATTCTCTTCGATGGCTGCAAAACCTGCTTTCACTCTGGATCAGATTGACAGCATAGATGCTGTGCCGCCGGCTCCTTCTTCGGGACTGATGGACATTAGGAGTGGTAAGGGCAGGTCTCCTATGCCTGCCCCCTTGGGGTCTTCCTCAGCTGCAGAGAGTTGCTTTGCCAAGGCCAGACTCCCCTCTCAGGCCCTGCTTCCCCTGACTGATTGACAAGTCCCGAAGGGCCGCCCCGTCTTCCGAACTCCTCCCAGGGTAGCCTGAGTTTCCTTGGGCCTCTGTTGCAGCCCAACTTCTCCTTCTGCCTGTGAAAGGAAAATAAATCTCAGAATCCCCAAATCACTAACCCAAGGGGAAAGTCAAGCTAACTATAGCAGACAAAACTGGCATCCCATTTTCTTCCTAAATAAGAAAGATTTAAAAACTACGCACTTCCCTAACAATTTGCCCACAAGACAATTCTCTGTGGGCCTCAAGATCTTTACCCTAAAGCAGTTCTGTTGATTTTCACCCTGGCAATGTAGACTGTTAGGTGGTCTCCACAGGTGCAGGACAGAAAGTCATCCCTCTGCTCACCTAGGACAAATGTGTATCTGATTGCTTCTCTGCCCTATTGTTTATATAAAAATGCAGATTCGCTGAGCCAGACTAAATTGTGCATTCAGTGAAAGACTGATAGAGGACTCGAATGTAACTTTTGGCCTGACGCGGTGGCTCACGCCTGTAATCCCAGCACTTTGGGAGGCCGAGGCGGGCTGATCACCTGAGGCTGGGAATTCGAGATCAGCTTGACCAACATGGAGGAAACACTTCTATAAAAATTCAAAAAATTAGCCAGATGTGGTGGTGCACGCCTATAATCCCAGTTACTTGGGAGGCTGAGGCAGGAGAATTGTTTGAACCGGGGAAACCGAGGTTACAGTGGGCTAAGATGGCGCCATTGCACTCCAGCCTGGGCCACAAGAGCAAAACTCCATCTCAAAAAAAAAAAAAAAAAAGAATGCAACCTTAGGTCTCTTATCTATCTATGACTTGGAAGCCGCCTTCCCCACCCCCCTGCCTGTACCCACCACAGACCAAACGTACATTGGTCCAGACCGAGTCAATGTACATCTTACATATATTGATTGATGTCTCGTGTCTCCTTAACATGTATAAAAGCAAGCTGCTCCCCAACCACCACCTGGGGCACATATTGTCAGGGCTCCTGAGGCTGTTACGGGCACGTCCTTAACCTTGGCAAAAGAGACTTTCTGAATTGACTGTGACTTGTCTCTGATATTTTGGATTCACATGCCCATCCTGCTTCCTGCTCTTCTCTTCCCCGGATGTTGGTCCAGAGCGCTTTAAACCCCCCGTGCTAATCTGCACCTGATCTGTGCCCAGGAACTCATCCTGCAGCACCACAGTTTTACAGTTTTTCTGTTCTTTGTTGTTTATTAATTGTCAATAGCCTGTGACAACTGGTTTTCTATAGTTCATCTAAGGACAATTTTTTTAAAAAATACGTTTGATTAGTGTCATCTTTCATCAAAGGCTCTGGAGTACTTATGGCAGCTCAGAGCGGGGGGTAAGATCTGGGGGCTGAGACGTCCTTTCCCCTCTCCTCCCGTCCCCATCTTCCCCTCCCCTAGCTTTACTGTCTCCCACCTTTGCCACAGACACCCCCTGCACCACCACTCCTGGAAATGAATCTCCGTCTCCTTTCTCCTCTTCCCCTACTGTCCCCACGGAATTTCCCAGTTCCCAGGCAGGCCTGGGCATGAAGTCTCTGACCCCTGGGGGCCAGTGGGTCTTCAGCTTCTGGGCAGACCTCCAAAAGGCCCCCTAACGCTGTCACTCACCTTCCCCCGGTGCGTTAGCTGGGTAGGGATGAGAAACTTCAGGCTAGGGAGGA